GCAGTGCTGGTGAAACCCAAGGTCTCATCCATGCCAGCCAAGTACTCTATCACTGAACTACAGCCCTAGCCCCTACAAGTGGCTCTTTTTTTGTTGTTTTGTTTTTTGCAGTACTGGGGCTTGAACTCAGGGCCTACACCTTGAGCCACTCCACCAGCCCTCTTTTGGTTGGGTTTTTTTGAGATAGGGTCTTGCAAACTATTTGCCCAGAGCTGGCTTTGAACCGCAGTCCTCCTGATCTCTGCCTCCTGAGTAGGTAGGATTACAGGCGTGAACCACCAGCACCTAGCTACAAGTGGCATTTAAAAGCAAATGTTTTAGCTAGACGCAGTGGCTCACACTTACAATCCTAGCTACTCAAGAGGTGGAGATCAATAGTATCAAGGTTTGAGGACAGCTCAGACAAAAAAGTTCAGGAGACCCCATCTCAACCAATAAGAAGCTGGGCGTAGTGGCACATACATGTCATTTTAGCTATGTGGGAAGCAGAAATAGGATCATGGTCCAGGCCAGCCCAGGTATAAATCAAGAGAATATTTTTTAAACATTTTTTGTGGGTTTGAACTCAGGACCTTACACTTGCTAGGCAGGTGCTCTACCATGTGAGCCACTCCACCAGCCCTAAAGCAAGACAATATTAAAAAATAAATAAATAACTAAAGCTGCTGGGCACTGGTGGCTCAAGCCTTCAATTCTAGCTACTTGGGAGGTAGAGATCAGGAGGATTAAGGTTCAAGGCCAGTCTGGGCAAATTGCTTGGGAGACCCAATCTTGAAAATACCCAACACAAAAAAGGACTGGAGGAGTGGCTTACTAGAGCACCTGCCTAGTAAGCGTGAGCTCTGAGTTCAAATTCCAGTACCCTCTCCCCCCCAAAAAAAAAACTAAAGCAAAAAGGGCAGGAGGCGTGGCTCATGTGGTAGAGCTGGCATGAGGCCCTGAGTTCAAACTCCACTACTGGAGTTTGAAAAAACAAAAAGGAAAGAAAAAAAGTATTTTGATTTCAGGATGTGCACAGTGATGCAAAATACTTTTTATGGTCTTTTGAACTGTGAGCTCCCTGAGAACAGGGAATGACTGTGATTCATCTCAGTGTACTCAGTGTCTAGCATAGAGCTGTACACACATAGGTGTCAGTACATGAGGGGTGTCTAAAATTGACTCAGCACACATCAGGGTAAGGCTATTCCACATATGATCTCGTTTCATCCTCCTGACAACCCTAGGAGATACAGACTAGCCCCATTTCAAAGAGTAGGCAACTACGGCTCAGAGAGGGCATTGGAGATGTTTTGTCTAAAGCAGCAATTCTCTACTGGGGGCAATTTTTCCCTCCTCAGATGACAAGGTCTGGGGAAGACATTTTTTTCTTTTCTTTTCCTAGAGAATTCAGTTTCTCTCTCTCTCTCTCTCTCTCTCTCTCTCTCTCTCTCTCTCTCTCTCTCTTTTGAAGAACACATTTTTGATTGAAGGGCTGCTACTGGCATCTAGTAGGTAGAGATGAGGGTGCTGCTGGATTCCTGTAATGTACAAGACATGCCCCCCTCCCCAAGAAAGGATCATCTGTCTCTAAATGTCAGCAGCAGTGTGGAGATCAAGAAACCCTGATTTGAAGAAGAGAAGACCAAGGAGGGAAAAAAATCACTGTCCTCAAATCCCTGGAGAATTGTCTTAGGGTAGAGTGAGAACACTGTTTTGTGATCCCAAGGGCTGAGTGAAGATCACTGGAGGAAATCGATAGAAAGACAGATTCTGGTAGTCAGAGCTTTCTGGCAAGGCAACTGGCTATCATTAAGGAGGGCAGTTTTCTGTCTCTGCAGTCACATAAGCCATTTAGGAAGCTGGTTCTTACCCAGGAAACCCTTGTAGAAGCCTACAAGTCCTGTCCCTAAAAGACGAACATCTTTGTACTGATGATAAGTTTGGTTTTAAGAATCCCATCCAGGGTGAGACATGTATCTTAGCAGTAAAACAATTTGAACCGACAAATAAAGAAACAGCTAAAACTACTGAAAAACCTAAAAAAAGAATCCCTTCCAGCATCAGCGCCACTCAAAGGTTGCAGACTGAACCCAGGGTTACAGGTTCACCTCTTTACAGCCAACCCTCTGGACTACTGAAGTGGATAGGGACATTTCCTACCACTTACTAGACTACAAGTCTGTCATCAACCTGGTCTTCATGGTTTTTTTGCCCCTGTGTGGCTATCACTACTTCTAAATGGACCTGTGAGAAAAAGGAAGAACAGAGAAGGCCTATGCCTTCTTGGAGACCATGCAGATGACATGGCAGAGCATCTCACCCACCATAGTCCACACACAAATGTCAATGTAGTTCACACGATGCCTAGAAACAGCTGACCCTCTCCCTCCCATCTCTTCCCATGTAATGCCCATACCACAAGGAGATCATTGAAGAGGAAGACCTCCCGCTGATGCAGCCCTAGCCTCTGGGGGCGATTTGGATCTGGCACCTCATAGAGCTGGCAGCAGCAAACCAGTCGACGATGAGGGAGAGACAGGACCTGGAGAGGCATGGAGAAATAGAGGTCAGCAAGGCCAGCCCATCAGCTTCAGGCCTCTGGTACCTTAACATTCAACCATGGCGGGGGGTGGGGGTGTGCCTCTGATGCATATATGTCACAAAGAGTATCAGCACAAAGCTTAAGCTTTTCTGCCACCTTGCTTTTGTATCTCTAGTGCCCTCTGTCTGTAACGCCTTTCCTGCCAGCTCTGCATAGCTTCATTCCACCCCTCTTCAAATCCCAATTCCAAAGTTATCTCTTCTAAGAAGCTTTCCCTGATTTCCCCAGGTTCAAAATGGCTCCTCCCTCCTTTCTGTTCCCCTAAACTAAACCATGAGGCAGGTTGTTTTTGGCAACCCCATTGTTCTCAAGTATCGCTAAGGCCAGAGATCATGTCTTATTCATATGTCTGTGTTTGGGGCCCAGTGAAATGCTGGTGTCAGTAGAAAGGCATCCATAAAGGTTTGCTGACCAAAGTGTATTCTTGCCTTGCTTCTTAGCTAATATTAGCTTGGCTTCTCACTTGGGCTGGTCATGCTAAATGGGAGGTAGGAAGGGTGCTAATAGTTATACAACACCTTCTATGGGACTTGATATATCCCCCATAATCTGCACACAACCCCCTGAGGAATACATTATCATGATTTTACAAGTAAGGGATTCAGAACCTGGGGTTCAGAGTGCAGTGACTTACCACTCAGTGGGGGCCCCTCTGCAGCCTCCCAAGGCACTTACTGGTTTCTTGCCAACAATCATGCGCTCCACGGCCTGCACCTGGGACACATGGTCATCATTGGTCCGCAGTTCACGACCCTGGATACGCTGGTAGATGCCCACCAGGAGGTCTCGGGGGATGTCTTCACCATTGTCAACCCCTATGTTGGGGGAGTAACAAAGAAATATATCACATAAACATGGGGAGTAGGTGGTAAGGGTTCTCCTCAACACCCTATACCCAGGCATGGACAATGATAATAGTCAGGACCAAGGGACAGTGGGTACCCTCAGTCCCTCAGCCAGGTTTGGGGCAAGGAGGTGCCCTTCAACAAAACAGTTAGCAGCTTTCTTCCCTAGGGTGGGGATTTTGTCTAAACAACTCAGAACACACTGTGATTTAGACAATCAGGTACTATTTTTTACCTTCCTAATTAGCAAAAATAATTTTAAATAATATCCAGTGTTAGAGTGTGGGAGAGTGGGCATGTATAGTAACCTAACTATTTTGGAAGGTAATTTGGAAAGAGCATAAACATTCAGTCCCAGTGAGTCTTCTTCTAGGAATCTGCCCTGAGGAATTACTCAAAAATCTGTGCAAAATTTATGTCCAAGAATGTTCACTAAGTGCTATTTATGGTTTGGGTCTTTTTTCTTTTTTTTGGCGGCACTGGGGTTTGAACTCAGGGCCTCATGCTTGCTAGGCAGGAGCTCTTACCACATGAGACACTCTGCCAGCCCTTTTTTGTGTTGGGTTTTTTCAAGATAGGGTTTCATGAACTATTTTCCCAGACTGGCTTCAAACTGCAATCCTCCTGAACTCTTCCTCCTAAGTAGCTAGGATTACAGACATGAGACACCAGCACTTGGCTAAGTGCTATTTATGGGAAAATTCTGACACAACCTACGTTCTTTCTTAGGCAGGGAGGTGGTACTGGAGTTTGAACTCAGGTTCTCGCACTTGCTAGGCAAGTGTTCCACCACTTGGCCACACCTCCTGCCCCTAAATTCTAATAGTTGAGAAATGATTAAGGAGAGTATATCTATTTAATAAAATAATACACAGCTACTAAAATTTGATGTTTATAAAAATATTCCAAGCCAGGCATCAGTGGCTCACACCTGTAATCCTAGCTACTCAGGAGGCAGAGATCAGGAAGATTGCGGTTTGAAGCCAGCCCAGGCAAATAGTTAGCAAGACCTTATCTTGAAAAAACCCTTCACAAAAATAGGGCTGGTGAAGTGGCTCAAGGTGAAGGCCCTGAGTTCAAGCTCCAGTACTGCAAATATATATATATATATTTTTTTTTTCCAGCAGCATGACAAACTTCTTATAGCAAGTAAATTGTGTGTATACATACATGGAGAGGGAAGGAGGGAAGGAGGAAGGGAGAGGGAGAGGGAGAGAGAGAGAAAGGAGAAGAGAGAGGGGAAATGAATGAATGATGGTAGGATTCTAGGAGACAGATCCAGATGGCCTCTGATCTAACTCCCTCCTCCCAAGTCTACCATCCTTCTCCACTCCTACCTGTCTGCTGAGTGAAACCCACTCACTCTTCTCTCTAAATCTTCTGCTAGGGAAAATGATTTCTCCTTTGGAAATGCCTCCTCCTTGGACAGATATTAAAGGAACATTTTTCTCCATATTGCCTTTTTTACCTTAGTTGCCAGAGAGCTTAAAGTCTCCAGCTGTAAATCCTGATGGTTAGCAACTTTGTCTTGTTTGGGTTTTTTTCCCCCTCATCTCTATTTCCCTCTTTCATTTCTGTTGAAATAATTTTAACATACCTGCCATTTATAGTAAGGCTGCTCTTTGGTGAGAGGCAGAGCTTGTAAGCCTCTTCAATAAGCCAAAAAAAAAAGAGAGAGATCAAAGTGACAACTTTCCTCTGGCATTTGTGGCCCTCAGACAGTGGTTCCAGCTGACCTTTCCAACCAATCATCTACCCCATCTCAATTGTTCTCAGCTTGTTGTTTTTCTTCCTGCAAGGGGAACCTTCCTATGTCTCTAATCTTTCACCTTACCCACGCCTTCAGGGCTCACCTTAAAATAAAAGTCCTCCAGGAAGCCAGAGGAAGGTGGGTTCCCCCTCCTTTAAACTCTGACTACACTCTGGCCTCTCTGACATCCTGTTCATTTTCTATTTTGTAGGTTATCTGGGCACTACAAGTCAGTCTCTCCCACAATCTGGGAGCTCTTTTAGAGCAGGGACTATGGCAAACTCCCCTCCATTGTCCTTGACACCCATCATAAAGCCTGGCATACATTAAGCACCCAATAAGTATCAACTGTCTTAGTGGTGGTTGGTTAGCTGACAGAATAAATGAATACATGAATGGAAGAAAGGGTACCTAAAATAATTAAATGAGTCTTTACAAATAAGGAAGAAAAGGAAAGAGAGAGTGAGGAATGGAGGAGGACATGGCTGAGTGAAGTACTATAAAAACCAGGACTTTTATCTCTCATGCTCACTGTTATAATCCCAGGACTTAGAAGACTGCTAATAGTAGATGTTCAGTGAATATTCAGTGTGTGGATGGATGCATGGGCAATGACTTTTATTATTCTTTTTGCAGTGCTAGGGATCAAACCCAGGGCTTTGCACATACTAGGCCAAGTGTTCTTGCCACTGAGTGACACCCCCAGCCCAACAAATAACTGTTTGAGTGAATTAGTAAGTGAATGCCCAGGGTACATTTAGCCTTGGGAAAAAAATGACAACACCACAGGTTAATTTCCAAGAACACCTGGGATCTGTTTCATTCTTCCCCCATCCCACCTTGCCCACTGTTGTTCCCAGGTGAGGGGCAGAAAAAGCTGATGGGAAATTCTGGTCACCTCTCAGGTTCTTGATGAAGTCATCTAGTTTCATCTTGCGTTCAGCCTTGACGCTGGGACTGTACATGTCGGTATTGAGAAGGATGATGGCAAAAGCAAGGATGAAGATTGTGTCTGGGTTCCGGAACTGGCGCACGAGGGCTGGGTTACAGACACAGTATCGCTGGCTGCAGGGCAGGAGAGGTCAAGTCCAGATTCAAGTACCAGCAATCTCCATCTACCCACCATTCACCCAGTGTGGCACCACCAACCCTTAGTTCTCTGGGTCTGTCATCTTCAGTTTCCCTAAGACTAGCAGGTAAAAATCACAAATGCTACCTTTTTGGAGCTTTCCTAGAACATTTATTTATCTTGCTTTACTTTTTTTTTGGTGGTACTGGGGGTTTGAGCTCAGGGCTTCATATTTGCTAGGCAGGTGCTCCATCTCTTGGGTCACTCCACCAGTCCCTTTTTGTGTTGGGTATATTTTAGATAGGGTCTCATGAACTATTTGTATGGCCTGGCCTCAAACCATGATCCTCCTGATCTCTGCCTCCCAAGTAGCTAGGATTACAGGCGTGAGTCCCTGGTGCCCAGGGGATTAACATTATTTTATGTAATCCAAAAACAATGCTGCAAGATAGCTATTTTTTCCTTCTTTTTTGTTGTGCTGGGGACTAATCCCAGGGCCTCAAACATGCTAGGTACATACTCTACCGCTGAACCACATCTCCAGTTTTCAAGGTATCTCCTAGCAGTTCTATTTTGCAGATTAAATGACCTAGGCTCAAACTGGTGGGGTAACTTGGTAACAAAGTTGGTGAATGGTGAAGCCAGGCTAAAAATCCAGATCTGTCTAACTGCAAAGTAAATCCTCCTATCATGAGAAACAAGTTCTCAACAATTCCTCTGTTTTTCCTCTAAATATTCCACAGAGGTAAGCAGGATTTAGACCTAGGTCTATCTGATCCTCAAAGTGTTTAAAGTAAATTGTAATGATTAAGGGCATAGATGGACCATAGAGTTAGACACACTTGAGCTCAAATCCTGTTTCCACTTATGGCCCTGGAAACAAGTTACCTAATGTCTTTGAACTTCAAATTTTTCATCTGCAAAATGGGAATAATAATAGAGGCACATACCTCATAGGGCAGTTTTGAGTATTCAGTTACATAATCATGTAAGTTGTCCAGGTCAGCAGCTGATATTTTAGTGAATGCTCCACGAATGTTAGGTATTTATTTTCAGTACTGAGGATGGGATCCAGGGCCTCATGAATACTAGGCAAGTGCTCTACCACTGAGCTACATCCCCAGATCCATGGCTGTTAGCTTTTATTGCTGATGTTGTTATTATTTGTTTAATGCCCATATCCCAGATACTTAATATTCACTACCTCTGATCCTCATAACTGCCTTGCAAGATAGGATTTATCATTTCTACATTATGGTAAGAAAGTATGAGGCCCAGAGAAATATACTACATGGGCCCCCAAAGTAGAGAAGGACAGCTGCAGGCATAGAAAGCAGGCATACCTGAAAGCTTCAATGAGTCGCTCCACTTTCTGGGCCTCACCCTGTACCCGGATATGGGATTGGAACTTCCGGAGTGCATCATCCAAATCCATGGAGGAGAAGTCCATCTCATCCACCACACAGCTGAAGAGCAAAGAAGGGGTTGTGGCACTCGATTCACTGGCAGAAACCTCTGACCCACCCTGACCTGCTCAAATGGCCTGACACCCCTACTGATAAGACTTTCAAAACCAGGACCTGTGGTCCTAACAAGTATAAATGAGGATAGAATATTTGAATCTATTTCCCAAAATCAAGGTGAGAAACATGGTCCTCAAGGGTCCTTTTTACCAGAGTACTCATTTCAGAGATGGGAAAACTGGAGCCCAAAGCAGGCCATAGGATAAGCAGGCTCTGCCCAGGGCCAGCCAGAAGACTTTAGGAATAGGGTCAAGAGGTATCAGACCCCTTTGGGACAGAAGGGTATGGAAGCAGGAAGATCTATTCATCCTGTTTGAAAAAATTTATCTGAGCAAAAAGGACAGGCTGTCCCCTCTTCCCTCCTGCCCTCCTTTTCCAGTAATCCCAGGCCCGCCTGCCCATGTTGGGGTCCTCACTCCAACACATCTCTGTTGAACTGCTTCTGCCGGTTCCCGAGGAATTCCCCTATCATCTGCCGGCTCAGGCCTTTCCGTTCCAGGATGAAGTGAGCCACCCCCACCGGTGTATCTGACAGGAAACCTCGCTCGATCAAATACTGGATACCCTTCTCTGGCTTCCTGCAGAAAAAGAGGAGGTAGATGAGAAGACTGTCCTCCTGGAACTGTGCCCTCTGTCCCATTTCTAGAACTAATTTTTGGGCCCACCTAAGCCATGGTTTCAGAAAACCAAGGACTCTAATAAGGTCCAATTTCTTCCTGGTACAGATAAGAAAACTGAGGCTCAGGGAGAGGAAGCCACTTGCCACTTCACAGAACTTCAAAATCCCTAGGAATCTTTACCCCCTGTCCTCCTCCACTGGACCACACCACAGTTGGAAGAAAATCAGTAACTAACGAGAACCAACTCTCTGAGTCCCAGACCCCCTAGGGCAGGGAAGAAGTGAAGAGATTACGTTGTTTCGTGTCTCACCCAGCCTCTGTGAATGTTTCTATAGACAGGGGGCTCCCTATGTTTCCTGAGATCTAGACCAAAATCTGGGTTGGAGCTATTCTGTATTCAGAGCCCCAGAACCTTAGGACCCCATGAAGTTAAAATTCGGAAGAGACTGTGGTATTGTAGAAATCTCAGATCCATCACTTCTAAATTATATGACTTTGGACAATTCCTTTTACTTCTCCAGGCCTCAGTTCCTTATCTAAAAAATTGGGACATTATTACCACCCTGTGGAGTAATTGTGAGAATTAAATATAGGTGGCAGTGTTTAATAGACTGTAGAGATGTAAGGCACTGCATCTAATGTCTTCCATTTCATCTTATGTTTTCTAATTACATCTAATGTTTTCTAATTATTTTCTAATCAAATGCCATACTTCCACCCCACTCCTAAGCACCTGGCACAAGACCAAGCACTTAAAATGAGCTCAGTGGCAGTCACTGGCAGTCCAGCACACCTCCAACACCACAAACAAACATACCCTGCTTGTCAACAGATAAAAAAGGTGAAGCTCAAGGAAGAGATACATGTTGCCAGAGCTTTGCAGCAAGTGGCTAAAGGGAGAGTAGTGGTCCTGATCTACTGCTTCCCAGACTAGGTCTCTACACCTGAGATTTCCTCCCCTCTGGAAAGGCTAGGTAGAGATGATGAAGCTCAGAACCCATTTAGTGGGAACATTTTGCCTAAGATCACACAGCCAGTCAGTGGCAGTACTAGGACCCAAACCCAGGTATGTCAGAAGTCTCTCTATCACCTGTTTTATTTTGTTTTTGAAACAGGGCCTCACTATGTAGCCCAAGCTGGCCCCAAATTCATGATCATCCTGCCTCAGCCTCCTGAATGCTGGGATTATAGATGTGTACCACCATGCCCGGCTTCTGCCACCCTTTACCCATTCCTCTTCCTTAAACAGTTGGAGAGAAATACCACTCCACCAAATGAGAGGATTGGCAGGACCAGGGTCACTCCTTGGAGCTCAGTCCTAAGGACAAAGTGCCTGTGCAAGACAGGAAGGGATAAGGAAACTAGAATGGGGAGCACATACTTATTGAAGAGGTTGAGGCCAATTCTGTAATGCCGCCTCTGTACCACATCGTTGTTGAAGGCTGGCGAGTCCCAGCTGTGCCTCGTCTCCCGCTGGTAAGTCTGCTTGCATAGGCCAGTGGCTGGAGGCTCCCTCAGGCTGTCCCGTGAAGAGGAGCCAGAGCTGCAGTTGATGGTCTCATTGGAATTGCTGGAACTCTCAAGGCTCTCATTATCTCCACCATCAGAGTTCTCACCTGCTGCTTCACACTTCCCCAACCTCCGACCCCCAGCCACACCACTGGGCCCAGTGCCACTGTTGGGGGCTGGTGGCAGGGGCCCTGGTGGGGCTGGAGCTGGGCCCTCAGGGGCTGGGTAGTGGCGGTGTGCAATTGGGGCCCTGCCTGGTGGCCCCTTGTGCTTCAGGGTCCCATGGGGGCTGCAGCCATCGGCCTCATACACCAGCTGGCGGTGGACAGAGCCGCGATCTGAGCGATCACTCAGGTCCACGGAGCTGTCACTAGGAGGCTCGATGGTAAGCAGGGGAAGGTGGGCAGCCCGTAGCCGGAAATCCCGGCACTCCAAGCACCCAGGACCCCTGCGAGTGCCTTCCTCTCGGCTTCCATCTTCCCGGGTCCCTGGTGGCACTGGCGGAGGAACTGGTGGGAGGGGGGCTGGTGCCCAGAACTCAGGCCGGCCCTGGGGTTGGGGCTCTGTGCTAGGCAGTTGCTCCGGGGATGGTGGGGGAACTGAGTCATCCAGGTAGAGGGGAAGATCACTGAAGGATGTGGCTGAGCTGTCTTCTTGCTGTTCCTTTGACTCCCGCTTCTCCAGTTGGGCTGACCCTGGCTCCTCAGACATTGGCCCTGATGGGTGGCAGTTCAGGGCCTCATCGATAGATTCAGCCAGAGACTTTACCTGCACAGAAGGGAAAGGGAGGAGGGAAAGGGAGAGAAAGGAAGGAAAGAGGAAGGGAAAAATGATAGAAGGGTGGTAAGGAGGGAAGGAAGGGAGCAAAGGCGGGGAATCTTCTGGTGAGTCAGCCAAGAAAGCAGATTCCCCTCCCCCCACCCTGACAAGTTCTTTATGGTTTATAAAAAAAAACTCCCAGGGAGCCATTGTGAGCTCACAGGAGCTGGGGCTAATGACTACAAGGTCCCTTCTCAGACACCCTGATATCTCTATGTTCCTTTAGACCCAAGCCAAATACTATCTCCTCCCTAATTCAAAGCCACATTCCTGCTTCTACCATGTCACTAGGATAAACCAAAATCTCAGGCTCCTCTGGGCTTGCAGATGCTCTCTGCTCTCATAGGAAATCTGTAATATTTAGCCTTGCGAATATGGACCATGCCTGGGAACTTCTCAGCTTCCAAACTATCCCCTAATGATCTCTGCCTACTAGTATTCATACTCTTGAAGCAGAGTTGGTCTATGTGACCAACAGCATATAGTGAAAGTGAAGGTATGTCACTTCTGGGATTAGGCTGTCAAATACTACAGCTTCTGTCTTTTTTTTTGTTTTTTCCTTTCCTTTTGTGGTAGTGGGATTTGAACTCAAGGCCTTCACTTTCAGCCACTCCACCAGCCCTATTTTTGTGATGGGTTTTTTTGAGATAGGGTCCCACAAACTATTTGTCTGGGCCTCGAACTTTGATCCTCCTGATCTCTGCCTCCTTTGTAGCTAGGATTACAGGCATGAGCCATTGGCGCCTGGCTTCTTTTTTTTTTTTTTTTTTTAATATACAATTTCTGTCTTGAATGCTCTCTCTGATTTGCACTCTCAACCCCATAACTTGTTAGAAGCCACACCATAAACAGTTCCAGGGAGAGGCTCATGTGGTGAGGAACTGAATCTTCCTGCTGACAGCCAAGTGAGTGAGTTTGCAAGCAGACCTGTCAGCCCCAGCCCATACTTCAAAGATTGCAATCCTACCCTACAGCTTGACTACAGCCTTATCAGAGACCCTGAGCCAGAACCACTCAGCCAGGCCCCTCCCAGCTTCCTGGCCCTTAGAAACTGCATGAGGTAATAAATGTTTGTTGTTTAAGCTCAGTCTCTAAGGTCAGTTTTAAGCTACTACATTTGGGGGTTAGTTTGTTGAGCAGCAATAGATAAGCAATACACTTCCTCATCAGATTTACATAGCACTGAGAGCTGGGACCAGGCCTGGTTTCTCTCTTTCCCACCAGACAGTGATTCCTTATTCTCTATTCTTCCCTTGAGGGATGAGTGCAGACCCAGGTTCTCTTTTTAGCTCAGTTTGACACAGAAGAGATGTTTAATTAAATTTTTGTCATATGAATGAATGGCACAGATACCTTCAATACTTCTCTCCTTCCTTCCATCTTTTTACTATTCTGAGGCAGCATGACCAGGCTGATGGCAGGGCCAGATCATAGAGTTTAGAGCACAGTGGTTTTTTTCTCTTATAAAACTTCACCCAAAAAAAAAAAAACTTCATCCGTTCATTTATTAATTCAGCAAATTCTACCAAGTACCTCCTTGGTTTTAGGAAGAAAACTAACATGTACTTAGCAGCTACCAGGTACTTTCATATATGTTACCTAGTTGAACTAAATCTTCAAAACACCTCTATAAAGAAGGCTTTCTCTCCATTTTTGCTGATTACGTGTCACTGAGGTTAAACCATTTGCCTAAGGTCACAGAGCTAGAAATGGCAGAACTGAAATTTTCTCCTGGGCAGGTGTGCTTACACACCCTAAGCCCAGATCTCCCACTCCCCTCATTGCCAGTTACATTCCCATCATTCCATGTTTTTACTGATGCAATGTCTAGGCAAGCAATGCTCTCCCAACCATCTCTGACTTGCTAAATCTCTTCTCAGTCTGGTAAGGCCCAGTTCCAATGTTGTTTTCTCCAAGAACCTTCTCTAGTCCTCCCAAAATCCTTTCTCATGGCTCTGAGCACATTCTATTTTAGGAGATAGTAATGCACACATATGTCTGTTATTTCCTACCAGACTGGGAGATCCTGAAGAACACAGACCAGAGTCCAGTTGCAGTCTCCTACTCTCTAAATGGGGAGACCTACTTCACAGGTCTTGTTTTTTTTTTCTTTTGGCAGTACTGAAGTTCACACTCAGGGCCTCATGCTTGCAAATGTCATAATACTTGAGCCACACCCTTGGCCCCTCACAAGTATGTTATAAAGCATACACAACAGCTGACACCCAGTTGGTACTCATTACCAGTTAGGTAACCTTTATATTTTGTTTTTTTTTTTTTTTTTGAGACAGGGTCTCACTATGTAGCCCAGGATGACCTTAAACTCTCAATTCTCCTGCCTCAATCTCCCAAGTGCTGGTACTATAGGTATGTACCACCATACTGAACTTAGATAATCCTTTATTTGATAGTAGATCAAGTCCCAAACAGTGAGAACTTTTATTTGTTCTATATACCATTATTTTAACCTGCTTGTTTTAGCAATATAATTGGGGTGCGTGTGTGTGTGTGTGTGTGTGTGTGTGTGTGTGTTGCTAGGGATCAAATCCAGGCTCTTGCTCAGGCTTGGCAAGTGCTCTATTGCTGAGCTATATACCCAGCCCTTGGTTTTTTGAGACAAGGGTCTCCCTACATAGCCTAGGTTGGCCTTGAACTCCCAATCCTCCTGCCTTAGCTTCTGAGTGCTGGGATTATAGGTGTGGGCCATCCTGCCTGGCTATAATTATTTTTTTTGTCTTACCAATTTTCCCCCATCATTCTCATACTCCCAACTGAGATCGTAGCTATTTGTTGCTATTCAGCTTGGAATATAGGTAGAAAACAGCAGGAGCAGCTAGAGCCTAGGGATAGGTAAGAAAGGCCCTTTTCAGGGATCCTGACCTGTTTGGAGAAGGAATCCTCAAGCTCTGTGATGTCATTAGAAAATTCTCCAGATGTGGTGACAGAGCTTCCACCACCATCAATGCCCCCACCACAGGAGCCTCCATAGGGGAGCCCCCGTTCAAGCCGGTGGCTCCGGGCCCCAGCCATGGCACCCTCGTCCAGCGAGGCAGGCTTGCCCTCGAAGTACGCAGGGTTCTGTGCCTTCTCATACTCCTCAAAGGAGAACTGCATCCGCATATTGGACAAGATGATGCGGCGGGACATGCGGCTCTCTGAAGCTGAGCTGCGCAGTCGCTCAAAGTTCTTATTCATTCGGTACTGGCGGAAGGCTGTCTGGATGGTCCTGGCAGCCCTGCGGCTTAGGAAGGAGCCCCCATACTTCCTCTCCAGCATTTCCACCTGGCAGGGAGGATTGAGGGAAACATGGTCAGAAAGTTGCCAGAGCCTCATTGCCCTGGGCTCTTATACACAACCCAACTCAAGTCACAGCTAATTGTCACCCAAAAGTTCTAGGCTGTGTGCTCAGTGTTGTCTTCTCACTTGAATCTCAGATAGCCCTGGTCACCATAGGATTGGACTATGTTGTGGTGTTTGTTTTTTAATTTATAAGAAGTATACACTGATTATTCAAAAACAAAGCAAAAAAAGAAGACTAAAAGGGAAAGAAAGGAAGTAAAGGGACAGCAGGAAGAGAGAGAAGGAAGTAAGATAGGTTAACATAAAGTCCAAACACCTAGGCATAACTATAATTAACATTTCAGGTTTCTTGTTTCCTAAATGTAATATTTTTGCCTCCCCCACATTTGTTTAAGCTGAATGAAATGCTGCATCATACTGTGAAATTATCAACTGATATGTGTGCTTCCCCCCTTCAATTGCATGTTTTTGAACACCAGGTACAGGTCTCATTCGTCTTCCCATCTCTAAGATCCAGGCATGCAGCACTATGTTTATTGTGGTGAATTAGTGAGTCCTCAGTAGGGTAAAGGGTCCTGGAACCGGTCTTCCCCAATTCCAGCCTCCCTGGATACCACCCACAAGTGCTACATCCCAACCCCTCCCTTGGCTCTCTTTTGCACCCCACTCCCATTCCCAACCAGGGAGTTCTTCTGCACCTTCTTGTCCTGCAGGTCTGTGGAGAGTTCATAGCTGTCTGACAAGGCCTTAGAGCGCTTTATCTCCTCTTCCTCCTGCTTCCTCAGGGCGACACTGGCTGGCTGGAGACGTGCCCGCTGAGCCCAGGGAAGGCCCACCCCTGCAGGGGGGCCCCCCATGTGGCTGCTGGTGGCGGGTAGCTGGCTCAGCCGGTAGGGGGGTTGGCTCCCAGGGCTATCAACCGCTGTACTCAGGTCACTGCCTGGGGCATCACCCTCCACACTGTGGGGATGAGATAAGATGAGCCAGGATGTGGAAACAGGAGAGGCCTGCTGGGCTAGACTGAGAATGAGTGGACCAGACCCCTGCCCCCAATCCCATTCTCCCCTGCTTCCTAATATATATACGGACCCCTACACTTAGAGGTCCTCAAGCTGTCTCGTTGCCTGCACAGTCCCTTTCCTTCAACCCCCTTGCTTCCACAGCCTGCTCCTCATTCCCTTTCAGTCCTTCCCCCTAGAGCACCATCCCCAGGCACCTTTCCCTACTGGCTGTCTTCTTTCTCAGTGTTGCCCCCAGTCCTATTCACTCCATATGGCCTTACCCCTAGACCAGTCTCCTCCTGGTCCTTTCCCCTAACAGTTCCAGCCTCAAACCCTTCCTCTGATGGGCCAGTTGCCCTTTCCCAGATTCATCCCCTCATGGCCCTGCCCCCAACACTGTGTGGAGTGATTTCTCTCCTGGAGCCATCCCCAGCACCACCCCAGATCAGTTCCTTTGAAAAGTTGCCCCCTCTTGGCCCTGTCCCTGGTGCCTGAGGCCCACCCCTGCATCCTGCCCACCCAGCCCTCCCCAACCCAACCCTGCCCCTGCACCCCACCCCTGCCCTTAGCAGCTTGGATTCCGGGCCTGGCCAGTTCCCAGGGTTCCCAGGCTGCTGCCTCCACCACCGCCGCCTCTGCTGCTGCCTCTGCTGCTGCTGCTGCTGTTGCTGCTGCGAGGGCAGGGCGAGGGCGCAGGCTCAGCGACAGTGGGAGGCGCCTCCCATCCAGCATCCTCACAGGTAAAGAGCTGCCCTGCGGGGCAGCTTCCTTTTTCTCCTCATGGCCTCCTCTGCTCGGCTGAGGGAGGAGGGCAAGGGGGTCTCGAGCCGAAGGGTGGCAGAAGCTGGGCCCTGGGTCTTGCCTGCCCAGGTTACCCAGAGCTGTTGTTCTGCCAGAACTGCTCCCACGGTGCCATGGCAACCAGGCTGCCAGGGAACCCAGGTGGCGACAGAGCCCTGGTGCCTTGGGCTGAGCAGGCATGGTGAGAAGCCAAAGAGGTGGCGAGAACCTGGGAGGGCCCAAAGGGGAGGAGCAGACAGGTGGAGCACAGAAAAGGTGTGGGAGCATGGGTGGGGTTGGGGCCCAAAGAATCGTTTGGGTTTAAGGGCACAAGATTGGTGGGCTCTTGGCTGTTGAAAAGGTTTAAAAGGCCCCTCCCCAGCCCCTACATGGCAGAGGCCAGAACACAGGGCAGAGGCAAGTTGGGGTGGTTGAGGGGGCTCACTCACAGGACCTGTTGGCCTGGCAACACAGCACTCTGCACTTGGGGGCCAAGGGGGGATGGAGAGGCTGCATCCATGAGGCAGGGCCAAGGGCTGAAGTGGAGCTAAGCTCTGCCCTGATGGGAACTCCCACCCACTGCTCATCCTCCACCCTCCCAAGTGCTAGTCTGCAACAATACCCAGGGCAAAGCAGAAACAGACCCTAAATTCCCTCCCCTGGAATGGAAAACATTTTTCTCCTCTCCCTCAGGATTGCAAGATCCTGCTCACCAACCTCTCAAACCTCTCCCCTTCTAGCACACAGCTCAAGCCCAGCTTTGATCAACTGTCTCTTCTACTTATGAACCATCCATAGCTCTACTGCCCACAAGAGACAGCTCAAGCTTCTTTATCTGGCATCAGAGGTCTTTCCAAGATACAATAGACAATGCTTCTAGAGAACTAGCATGCTTAGGTACCATTCTCACCACTTCACACTTAATAACTTGGTTGCTCTTCCAAACAGCCCTATGAGGTACGCATTATTATTTATCTTTATTTTACACATAAAGAAACTAAGGCCCCAGAAGGTTAAGTAACATATCAATGGTCACATAGCTACCAATGATACAGCAAAGGATTCAAATTCAGGCAATCTGACTCCAGAGCCCACACTCAAACATTAAGTCACCAGCTCCCTACCCCCACACACCCTGAACCAAATCCTGTTTCTCCCAAATGCTCCTCAGTTTCCCATCTCCAAACCTGCTCATTTACTACCTCCCACCTATAATGCAATCCCCATCACCTCTGCCATGTGCAATCTGAGAAACCCTCCACACCCCAGTTCCACTAAGATTCATGTCATACAGCACTAAGAAGCTCTCCTGAATCCTGCCACCAGCCAGAATTTATTGCATGTGGCTGTCCTTTTATGGCACAGATTAGCTTTGGCAAAGCATACCAGCTATTTGTGTGCGTGACTCCTAGAATCCCAGCACAGGAAGCATATTTGGTCATCTCTGAGCTAACAGAGCCAAAGGCGTGGAGCAGAGTAGGCGCTCAACAAAAGCTTCTGGTGTGAGGGAGTCAGTAAATATTCTTGGGTGGCTGCTCTAATAAAACTCTTGCCCGGACTTGTGCCACAGCCTCCAACCTCCTCTTCCAATCTGTTCTCCATCCTGTGGCCACAGAGAGCATGCAAAAATATGAATCTGACCATTTTGATTTCTTATGAAAACCCTTCTACAGCTATCTATGATCTACTTGACAAACAACTGAGCACCTTTTATGCACCAGGCACAGTGCTAGGCACTAGAAATACAATATTGAGAAAGATGGATGACAGTGTTCCCTTGGGGAGGTGACATTGTGTGGGGGAAGCTGATTATAAATGCATACATACATAAAACATATATACATAAATACATAAATCTATCATTTCAGGTAGGGATAAGTACTAGGAAGGAAAACAAAGCAAAGTGAGTGCTAAAAGGTGCTGTTTTAGATATGGTGATCAGGGAAGGCCTTTTGGGGTAAATGGCATATAGCAGAACCCTGATGGAAGTGAGGGAGTGAGCTGTGTGGCTGTCGAAAGCAAGAGCAGTCCAGCCAGAGGGCACAGGTAGTGCAAAGGCCCTGAGGGAGAATTGTGCCTGGTGTGTTTGAAGAACAGTACAGAGGCCAGTGTAGTCACAACAAAGTGAACAGGGCAGACTGATAGGAGATAAGGTCAAACAGGTAGTGGGCCCCAAGAAAGACACTGAGCCCATGATAAAGACTTTGGCTTTTGCTCTGAGATGAACAGAGGAGGTATGTGACCTGATTTTGATTTTATAGGAATCATCATCAATAGGATAATCTCCAGCTTCCTCACTATGGCTATGGGTGGCTTTCCTGACCCATTACCCCAACCTGGCTACCTCCTACTCATCCTTCTATATTTAGCTCAGGTGTAGCCTTCTACGCCTGCCTACCTTCTCCACACAGGCTGGCTTACAGACCCTTTGTACTGCTTTATAGCTGTGCAGTCACCTCTATCCCTAGGGTCAGGGAATTAATTATCTCAAAGAATCCTCACAACTCATTGAGGCAGGCACTATTAGCCCCATTTTATAGATGAGGACATGAGGCACAGAGAGGCAATACAAACTTACTCAAGGTCACACAGCTATTTAGTGAGAAGTCAGGATGGAAACCCAGAGCCCAGGCTGTCTCTATGCTCTCTCTATGGTTGCCTCTCCCACTCCTGGTTCTGTGCTGCTTCCAGCTCTCCACTCTCTGGCAATTCCTCTCTTGAGAGCTCGGCCCCTGTTTTGTTTGCAAAGGGAACAGTGGTGAGGACATTAGGATATAGGCACAGTCTCCCATGAGAGGGCCTGGCACAAAAGGGAGAGTGCTTGAGGGATTGCTTCTGACACCATACACAATGCAGAAGAAATGGGAGCTGGGGGTGAAAATCTCTCTCTCTCTCTCTCTCTCTCCTATTCCCTCCCTTTCCCTCTCCCTCTCTCTGTCACACACACACACACACACACACACACACACACACACACACACACACACAGCACATGTTGTAGAGTAAGAAGTTGGATGGGAGCCAGGTGCAGGTAGTGCATGCCTGAAATCCTAGCTACTCAGGAGGCAGAGATCAGGAGGATAGAGGTTTGAAACCCAGGCAAATAGTTCATGAGACACTATTTTGAAAAAAATCCATCACAAAAGGGCTGGTGGAGTAGCTCAAGGTGTAAGCCCTGAGTTCAAACCCCAGTACTGAAAAAAGCAAAAAAGAAGTTGGGTGGGTCCTGGCAGCCATTTACCACTTATGTGAGCCTAGGTATGAAACTTTCCCTGTCTGTACCTCAGTCTTTCATGTGTGCAAGGCTCAAACAAATGTAGTTCCTTCTTTGGATTCCTGGACTTCAGAAAGGGTCTAGGAGACCCCTCTCGCTTTCTGAACTCCTCCCAGCCAGGAACAAAACATGTGCACATGTACATACATACATGTTGCACAAGCACAAAAACAAAGACACATTCAAAGGCTAACAAATCTAGAAACAAAAGCACACATCCACAGCCACACAAATTTAGGAATGAATAAATGCACACACGCACACTCACACGCCCATATGCACTGTCTGCTGCGCTATTCTGTGGGGGAAATGAGAGCATCCTTTGCAGCGGGGAAACAATCCGTGTTACACAAATAACCACAGTCCAAAGCGGAAAGTTATCAGGGTTGGGGAACAGAGGAAGTGCTGGGGGAGGGCAGGAGAGAGATCCCTTCTGCATGGGGGTGGCTGAGCAGGATAAAAATAAACTCTCACTTACTGTGCACCTTCCCTGTGTCAGGCATTTTCCACACATTATTTAATCTGCATGGCAAACATGAGGGAAGAATTAGGATTCCTATTTTACAGAGGAAGAAAATGGCTCTGAGAGGAAACGTGACTGCCAAAGGTCTCAGACCTATCAAGTGGCAGACTGGGGGGTTCAACCCCCAAAGCAGGTCCTCCTGCTGCTTTTGAAGCCTTATTGGGGAGGAAGATTGTGGACTAAGCCTTGCCTAGGAGAAGCTGGAAGAGATGAAGAGTGAGGGAACTGTGTGAGCCAAGACTTTAGGTGGAGGGGAAACAGGACAGGAGGATCCCTAGGGATTGGAGGCTAGCCTGCCATGGTGGAGAGAGTCACTGACCCTCCCTGGATGCTGCCTCTGATGGGAGGTCTTTCCCTCCTTCCCTTTATTGGCACTTCCTGGAGCCAGGCAGCCAGCAGGAGATGGGATCAGGATGTAGTTGCCATGGAAATCAATGGGGCTGTTACCATGGATACCGTAAGATGAGGGCAAGAGGAAACAAGGGATGCTGAGGACTATTCCCATGACAACTGAGGCTGGAAGAAGGGGACCGGAAGTGAGAGACAAGAAAACAAGACAAGGAGGTCAACACACTTAGACAGGGCCAGGGGCTATGGCCTCTGGAAGGAGAAGACTGGGAAATAAGATTGGAGTCAGTAAACGGTGACAGGGATACAGAACAGCAGTCACTCTCCCTCCTCTCATAGCTCTTCTGCAAGCTGTTTCTGCTGTCCAATCTCAGTGCCACAGGGATTCCAATCCCGAGCCTGGCTTGGCATAGAAGCTGACAGGGGAGAAGGAGACCAGCTCAAGGACTAACTGGGTAGACAGTTGGCAAACACAGGCTCTGGAAACCTGTAGAACTAGGCTGGAATCCTGGTTCTGCTTCTTTACACCCCTAAAAATAGTAGTCGCTTACTGAGTGCCTCCTTTGTGCTAGGCCTAGCAACTATGCAAGGTCTGGGTTAAACAACCCTGACTTTGAAGGAGATAACACAGATGATAAAACTGAGGCAGAGAGAGATGCCTAAAGTCTCAGAGCTCAGTGGTGTTGGAGCCAGGATTCAAGCAAAAGTATAGTTGAATACATAAGGCTAGGGATGTAGCTCAGTGACAGTGATTGCCTAGCATGCATGAGGGCTTGAGCTCATGAGTCCTCCACCCCAGGAATGGTCAAAAAAAGTGAATCTGAGCACAAAGTTAAGTTTATGTTCTTCCCATCCCTTCCATGGTAGAGTCCTCACATTCTGCATCTCCCCATCCTTCCCATAGTGGCATACAAAAGGCCAGACATTTGGTAAATATTTGTGGAGTGGGTGAGTGAGGAAGCCACCCTGGAGGAAGCAGGAAAGACTAAAGTTAGATGGGAGAAGCTTCTGATTTCAAGAGCAGTGACTCATGGATTTGGCTGGCCAAGGGCAGAAGAAGATCCACAGTGCTGTGGTGGACTTTACAAATCAGGCTTTATGAACCATGCCACAAATCTAAGTTGAGGCCCAGGCAGTTAAGGTGACTTTCCCTTGGTCCCCAGGATAGGAATCTCCTACCTTCGAGGCCAGGGTCCCACTTTGAGCCTCACAACACTCCCTCCCCCCATACCTCCTACTCTGTCCTATGTAAGTTTCAAAATATCAGCCAACAGCAGGCTACTCCCAATTCTTAGACTATGGCAAGCTTACCCACATTTCCATGGTTGCAAACATAGACTTGCTTTGTTCCTCCTGTCCAAAACATCTTTGCTCGCTCCTTCACCTCTGGGCTTGACCAGCCTGAGTGAGCTCATCTTCAGCTTTTAGTACCCTGAGCAGGTGGGTCTTCCTTTAAAGGCAGTTCTGACTTACTCTCACCCTCACAGAACCCAACAGGGTCAACTACTGCCCCCTTTCTGTCTCAGACATACCCATCTCATGGTGGCCCTTATTACCAGCTAACTTGGGATTCTCCTGAAGTGTTCATCCCCCACTCCCTATCCCCACACATATTTCCCAAGGGCAGTAGCCTGGTATGAGTCACCTCCAAGGACCCGCTATGCCCAGGCCAGGGCCCAGCACACATCTGTTGCTCAGCAGGTACCTTGATCCCCTAAGACCCCAGGTAGAAGTCACATGTGTCTGTATGTGTGTGATCATCCTGCCTGACAACCATCACCCTAAAAGCCACAGCCTTACAAATTTAAAAGTCACACATACCCAGCCTTATGATTACCTCCACCAGACACACGCATAGAGATTGCCAGGCCCAGAAAGTCGCCACTTCACTCAGCAACCTCACATTCTCAGAATTCCTCACACTCAGTATCACGTAATCACATTCCCTTAGATACACAGCAGCTCACACAGTCTCCATACTGTGACAACTGTATGGCCTCATGCAAAGACATGTACCTGAATGCAAGGACACAAGGAGACATATTTCTCTCATCATGGATATAAATATAACTTGCTCCCTTCCCACAACACAGACCCTCTGCCCAAGTAGGCCAATTCAGTTGCCTAAACAGGAGTTTCATGACAACCCAGAGAGGTTCTCATTGTACACAGAAGGAAAATAAAAGCTCAAGAAGAAAAGACTTGGGCTGACGGAGTGGCTCAAGTGGTAAAGTGTGAAAGTATGAGGCCCTGAGTTCAAGCCCCAGTACCACTAAAAAAAAAGAAAAAAAGAAGAAAAGACTTGCTCAAGATTATATAGATCATCAGTGGCAGAACCAGAAGGTAAACTCAGATTTGTCTAATGTCAGAGGTTTGGAGAGGGAAAGTTGGGACATGAGTCTACTTCAGACTCCTGACACAGACACATTGTGGAAGGTGGAGGGGGTTATGAATCCATAAAGGTCACTGTCCACTCTCCTGCTGGTAGCCTCCAAGGAATCATAGGAGTCATAGCTTCTAGCCAGGTGTAGAGAATATTTAGGGTCACTGTATCTGAGGAAATGGCCTCCTTTCAGATTCAGAAGTCCCTAAAGTTGTAGAATTAGAATCTTAAAAAAACAGAATCAAGGAATCTGAACATCAGAAAATATTATAACTACATCATAAGAATTTTTTTAATGGTACAATCATGAAATCTTAAAATCACAGATTGGAGATTCCAAACATCACAGCACTGTAGAAAAAGAAATCACAAAATTGCATGGAATGTGTCCCAGAGTCCTATCTTAAATGCACACATAATCATCGCTTCTTAAAATGGTAGTATCTCAGCCTCACAGAATGTCAGAGCTAGAAGAGCTCATGGAGACCCTCTGATCCAACCTCCCTCCCAATTTTCCGCATGGGGAAACTATGTAGCAGAGAGGTCAAGGGATATGTCCAAGGTTAGCCAGCTCAGGCTGCCTCAGGCTAAGGAGCTGAAGAAGGTAATGGGAGTGCCCGTGTTGGGAGCCATTCACACATTTATTTATTGAGTGCTTCTGATGTGTTGACAATACCACAAAAATCGAACTCTACTCTGTCTCCCAATCCCTGTTCCCAGCCCTGGGATTGGAAAGAAGGCAAGGCTCTGGTGAGGATGGGGATGGGGATAGGAGAGTGAAGTGGGGTGGAACATACATCAGACAGAGAGAAGAGATCAGCTTTTATTGATGGAAATTCCTTTGTACACAGCAACACACACTCTGAAAGCCCTTTTCCTCCTGATAGTATTTACAAAGCACTATGGGAGGGGCTGGGGACATGGGGCGAGGCCTTCAAGCAGTGGAGGAAATGGCAGCAATGGCCACAGCAAGGGAACAAATGACGGGGAACTAGGCAGGCTGGGTCCTGCCCCCGTCTGGTCCTCTGAGCCTAGGCACCCTGCATCTCTGTTTGTGCTCACAGAGGACAGAGGTAGGTCCTTGGGATGTCATTTGGAGACCTCTCCAGGAGTGGCAGGTTCCAGGGTGCCTGGGAAGTGAGAGTGCAGGTGCAGGAGGGTCTGGGTTCCAAGCTCCAAGCTCTGCTTCTCCCACATTTTGGTCAGACTGAGGGCTCCAGCTCTTTTTAATGCAGGGGCTGGAGCCCAGGGAGATAGCAGTAGGGGTAGGGATTCCAAGAAGGAGGTAGGGAGGAAGGGGCACGATGCTTGCCCATCTGATTTCTGAAGCAGGGGACAGGGTCCCATGGGGGATGTGCAGGGGCTGGGGGCGGGGGCTGGTTAAGGCTTTTGCTTCTGCATAGAAAATGGCCCTTGTCCTCTCAGTTACCGAGAGGAGGGACTACTGCACTCGGAGGCCGGACAGCAGAACTGGTGAGCGTCTTCCTCTTCCTCTTCCTCAGTCTCCTCCTCCTCCTCCTCTTCCCTGGGGCCAGGAAGGGCAGGGTAGAGGCCACAGGCGGGCGGGTGACAGAGAGAGGCAGAGGCATTAGTTTGCAGAGCAGGGGAGATACATGAAGGGCCAGATCGGGAGGTGGGGCTAGATGGGGGTCCAAACAATGAGGCCAGTGTAACAGATTAGCCAGGG